ACTGATCAGCGGCTGATTCCAGGAAGCCGGGGGCAGAGCAACTCTGCCTAGGGCTTCCTGTAGTCAGCCGCTGATCAGTTTCAGCAGCGGCTGAATCTGGAGCCAGTTCCGACTTACATACAAATTCAACTTAAGGACAAACCTATAGTCCCTATCTTGCACGTAACCCGGGGACTGCCTGTACAACATGCAGAATATGTTAAAGTAATCAGAACTATGCTCAGATTAACAGTGTAAATCACAGCAGAATCCGCTGCTGATGTTTGTGCTACTAAAATTTCTTACGTAAGAAACAATAACAAGGTACGCCTCCCCTCCCCCGATAAGTGAAATCTCACTGCTTAGCTATCTATTGTTGACTTTGTTACAAAACTATATTACTAAATCCTGGATGTTTACTATAAAATGAAATGCCAAGACAGGATATAGACAAAATTAAACAACAGATTGTATTAGACGTTTCTAACCTTATTTCAAGATAAAGCAATATTTTCTTAATATCTCTGGATAATATTAGCACAAGATGTTGATTATCCATAAAATAACAAGACAAACCAGATCATATCCCTTCCACTACCCAAAAAGCTGTTTCTGAAAACCTTTTGCAGTCTAAGTTTCTTGTGTTAGTTTGTCTTCAGTATACTGGCTCAGAGATGAATGGAGTAATCTTGAATTCTGCATAGATGTAGGGTTGTACAGATGTGGTCGCCTTATCTCAAAAAAAGATAAATTGGCATTGGAAAAGGTTCAGAAAAGGGCAACAAAAATCATTAGGACTTTGGAACGGGTAAAAAAGACTTGGACTTTTCAGCTAAGAGGAGGAGACTAAGGGGGGATATGACAGACGTCTATAAAATCATGATTGGTGTGGAAAAAGTGAATAGGAAAAGTCATTTACTTATTCCAACAACATAAGAACTAGGGTGTCACCAAATGAAATTAATAAGCAGTAGGTTTAAAACAAGTAAGTTTTTCTTCACTCATCTCACAGTCAGTCTGTGAAACTCCTTGCCAGAGCATGTGGTGAAGACTAGGACTTAAACAGGCTTCAAAAAAGAGCTAGCTAGATTCTTGGAGGTCAGGTCAGGCTATTAGCCAGGATGGGTAGGAATGGTGTCCCTAGCCTCTATTTGTCTGGAAATGGGTGACAGGAGAGGGATCATGTGAGGGTTACCTGTTGTGTTCCCTCCCTCTGGGGCATCTGGTATTGGCTGGTGGCAGCAGACAGTTACTGGGCTAGATGGACTTCTGGTCTGACCCAGTATGGAGGCTGTTATGAGTAAAATCTTGTCCCCCACTGAAGTCAATGGGAATTTTGTGCCATAGAATTCACAAGACAAGGATTTCACCCATGGCAAGGAATGGACTTCAAAGCCATCTAGTTTGTACTAGACCATTTGTGTTCCTTTCCCTGAAATTGAACTCCTGATTTCAATTTATGCGTTTGCAGGGGCCAGCTGTGATACCATTATCATTCATTAATACTGTAGTACCTAGCAGAAGACTTTGAATTTTCATGACACTGTTACGTCTATATGAGAGTTGACTATTGGAAGAACTCTACTGCTACAATATAAATCCTTCAGTTTAATTGTTGGGGTTTTTTTTGGAGGGGAATTTCCACTGATTAGAATGAAAAGATTGTGTATTGCCTTATATTGGGGGTAGAGTGGCACAGAAGCCTTCCCTGATCTCTGCAGGATCTAGGAAAGTCTTGGGACCTATTTTTGCAAACTTTTTTTTCTCTTGTGAGTAGTCATGACACACTGAAATAGCCTTGTAGATTTCAAGTTCACCTGCTCCGAGGGAGCTTTGCTCCAAACTTGCCTATCTCTGTACTTCTTAGTCTGGTGTGAAGTATCTTTTCCCTATTGCAGATTCCAAGGCCAGAAGGGTCCATTGTGATCATCTCATCTGAACTCCTGAATAACACAACCCACAGGATTGCCCAAAATAATATCTATCAAAGTAGGGTCTGTAGGCATAGGAACACAGGCATTGCCATGCTGGTTCAGATCAGGTCCATCTAATTCAGCCTCTTATTTTTGACATTTTGAGGGGTGGGCAAGAGGCAGCTAGTGGGCTGCATTTGGCTCACCAAGTCACCAGATCCGGCCAGTGGCTGCCTCCATGGGGGGGGAGGGTAGCTGCCACCATTTTAAATATGGCTGATCTATGCTGGAGAGCGAGGAATGAGGCTTTGTACTGTGTCCCACCGCCACAGCAAAATCTCTCAGCTTCCATTGGCCAGTTTCTGGCCAAAAGGAGCTGAGAAATTTTTGCTGGAGGCAGGGGCAGCCAATTAAGTTTTCTTCCTGCCCCGCCCCACCCGCCTGGAGCAGAGCCACGTGGAGCAGCTTGCCACTGCAGTTCAGGTTCCTGCAAGGCTTCTGTCTGGGAGCCACCTAGGTAAGCACCTCCCAGCCAGAGCTTGCTTCTGGCACACACCCCTTCTTCCCACCCCAACTACTTGCCCTAGACCACCTCCCAAATCCTTTGTACTGTACAGCAGCATTGAATCTCACTGTTGTACAGTGTGTACTAGAGATAAAATTTACATTAATGATTTATTTTAAGTTTTTCTCCAGTCAATTTGCTTTCCAAATCCTGCAGTTCTGAAGCACACCATGTTAGCTCAGAGTGGGTCTGATCCAAATGGAAATGTTCCTATTGACTTCCATGGCAGTTGGATAAGACCCACTATTTGCATTTCATTCGGAAAATTTTCTCACACTTCTAATAACATCCACTTCATAATTTAACACTCTTTACCAGTATTAGTTAAAGGCATTCTGTAAACACAATGTATTCATTTCACTGTTTAATTATGACAGCAGTACTAGAATGGAAACACCTTCTGAAACAATTACAAGTTTCCCTATAAACGAATATGTATCCTAAGGTAATACCTAGATATTATGGTGCTTATGAAATGGATTTTTACAAATGTCACAGCTGTGGAGATGATAAATAGATACTTTTTATGCCTTGATAGTATTTTCTTCCTGAGATGCCAAAAGAGCTCTTAAATAGCACTTAAACCATAAAGGGCAATCTAACATTGCCTATTAATTTATAGTCTTTTATATATTAAGTCTCCAGAATGACATTGTAAGGAGATATCAAACAGGGAAAGTAATATCACACTTTCTTTCCTTCATGTCTCCTAAGCAACTTGTGTTGCTAAGCTCTGAAGATAATGTTTTCATATATATTTCTGGTTGGCTGTCAGAACCATGATTATTCTGCAACAGAAAAATTACATGTGGGTTCCGAAGCATACTTGTCTTTTGCTTTATTTTTTAGGTGAATATGTTGTTATGACAGTCTACTTCCACCTCAGACGGAAAATGGGTTATTTTATGATACAGACATATATCCCATGCATTATGACTGTGATCCTCTCACAAGTGTCATTTTGGATAAATAAAGAATCTGTTCCAGCTAGAACTGTCTTTGGTAATTATAACTTTTTATTTGTTTCCTCCTCTAATGATTTTTCCTGGAATTAACTATGGGAGAGAATGTGCATGCTTTCTCTACAGCAGTGCTGATAACACGAGAAAATAAATGAAGTTCAAAGGCAGGTGGGCATTTGTTTACTATCTGCCTAATATATATATTAGGACTATGTAACATGAATCATTAGACCATGGAAGGAAACTTGGAATATTTAACCTGCAGAGGAATGTGGTTGATTGTAACAGGTTTACACTTATGGGAACCCATACTTGTGCCCACTGAAGCAAATGGGAAGCCTCCCATATCCAAATCAGGTCCTCAGTCTGCAGATGGGACAATTTTACCCCTCAGATGTTTGTTCTTGGCTCCTTAGAGTAAATCCAATTAAAGTGTCTAATTGGGAGAAAGGGGAGATTGTGTATGTGTGCGCAGATCTTAGGCAAAAATCTCACTGACATTCATGGTAGTTTTGTCTGAATAAGGTTTAGGCCCTGTACTCAGTGAAACTATCTTTCTCCTATGGCCACTATGAAACTGAACCAAAAGAGTAATTAGGCAAATGATCACAAAATATTAAAGTGAAACACTTTTAAAATACAACTTGAAAAAAGATGCTACAGTGAATACAGACACAGAATCAAAGTGTCTGGAACACAATGGCTGCATCTAGACTGGCATGATTTTGCAGAAATACTTTTAATGGAAAAGTTTTTCCGTTAAAAGTATTTCCGCAAAAGGGCATCTAAATTGGCACGGATGCTTTTGCGCAAAAAGTGCTTTTGTGCAAAAGCATCTGTGGCTAGTCTAGACGTGATTTTGCTCAAGAAAGCCCCGATCGCCATTTTAGCCATCGGGGCTTTTTTTGTGCAAAACAGCTTTTTCCTGTCTACACTGGCCCTCTTGCGCAAGAATACTTGCGCAAGAGGGCTTTTTCCTGAGCAAGAGCGTGAAAGTATTTGCGCAAGAAACACTGATTTTGTACATTACAAAGTTAGTGCTCTTGCACAAATTCAAGCGGCCAGTGTAGACAGCTGGCAAATTTTTGCGCAAAAGCAAGTCTTAGAACCTTAATGCCCAACTCAAGTGTTACATTAGAAGGGGAAGGAATACAAGAAGTGAGTCAATTCACATTCATGGGCAATAACATGTAAGGCAATGGGAATATCTAGATGCAGTAGTTTGGGGGCCCATCTGAACGTTGCTGTTGACCCTACATGCCCTCTCCTCAATAAAGGAACCAACAACTATGTTATTTTGATAGAAGTGTCCCTTAAATACTAGGACACACATAGTAATGTAAAGTATGCCAATGCCAGGTTTTTGTACCCATGTCAAAACACCTTTTGCACAAGTGAAAAGGCCACAAAAATGTTCTGAAGTGTTGAAGACAAGATTTTAAGAAAAAAGTGCCAATTAAATGGGATTTCAACAAATTATATAAGGCAGAAACAAATCTTAGTCCCACACAAGTTTTCTTTGCTGCATTATTAGGGTTTGATTTAAAGAAAATTGGCCTCATGTTTTCTAGTGATAAATACGTAGGATATTTATTGATACAAGTTTTAAACATTCATTATAATAGAAGCTAGGTATACTATTGAATAGCATGGTGCTAACAAAGCACTAATATATAATAGATCATGGCAGATTGTCTAACCGAGGGAGCTTGTGTGCAAGTGAATCTGTTAGTTCAAGAACTCCTCCTAAATGGTAACTAGGACCACCACATTTGATACCCAGCCTCCTCTTGTAACTTTCAAACCAAGGTAAGGGTTTGGTTGTACAGAGGTAGGGGCTGAAGCTCCCACCCCCCGTGCATATGAGGACACACAGTCATACAGAAAAGCAACAGAACCAGGCAGGTGCTGGCTTTGGGCATGCCTCCCACTTTCCCAGGCATCATTTAGGGAGGATGGGGGGATTATAGTGCCCCTCTCCCAATTTGTATGGGACCATTGATGACTGTTCCCCTTCAGTGGGGAGAGTGAGAGGAAAGTGCACAGTTTACTCCATTCTTCAATCTATCTGGGGAGTTCAGGGGCAGATGAACCTGGATGTATCCCAACTGGGGGACAGGAACCCCTCTCCTGGCTTTGCTCACTGGAGCTGTAGTAGCCATGGACAGGTGCTTCTCACCTGGCCTCAAACTGCAGGGGTGAGAAGGGGTTGGGGGTAGTCCTCTCTCTGCAGAGCTGTCTGCATACTGAACCCCTCATCCCCAGCCCCACCCCAGAACAACAAGTATAATGAAGAAAAACAAAAGGTGTTAAGTACCTGAGCAATGCTCTGTGTGTGTGTAATACAATGTGTGTGTCTATCTTTTGTCATTATATTTGCCATATGCAACACATCTGTGTCTGAGCCACTGCATTCTCAGATTCATCTGTATCCACATGAGCAACTTTCATGTGTATAACAGTCGTTACCACGAGTAAACCTGGGTGCACACCATGCTCTGGCTTGAGCAACTGTAGTTGAGCACATATGTAGAGTATAAAAAGCCCAAGTAATGAGTTCCATGGATGCTTTGGTATCTGTGTCAGTGCTGGAGAAATGTGTCCATCCTTGTTATGTTGCCTGTTGTTTCCAAATGGGGAAGGGATGTTAGGCTGAGCCTCTATGTCATGTTCCAAAGCGAGGTTTGGAACCTTGCACACTTGGTAAGTTGAAAGAAGGGCTTGTTCTGGGTCTGATTGCAACAGAAAAGCTTACACTGTGCATGATTTACATCCATGGGATTAGCTGTTAGGTCATATAGGACTGCTACAAGTTCTACTGAAGGAACTTGTGAAGGAAGTATATCTACTGTAGTGCGAATGATGAAGGAAGTATATCTATTGTAGCGCCAAAATTAGGAAGGCTTCTAAATTTGTGGTTTTTGTTCCCCGCCTACCTACCAACAAGCTTCCATAATTTGTCTGCCAACTTCTGTCAGACTTCTGCTTGAATTATACCCAGTCAGCATGTGTACAGTTGGAAACATTCTGTGTAGTTACTGGCCAAGCTCAGCTGCTATTTTGTAGGTGGGTATAAACTTGGCCTTTATCTTCTATACCAGTATGAAACCAAAAGTCTTGAGCTGCTTACTTGTGAATAAAAAATACACAACTGCAACATCAGTGTCAGGAGACCATACCCACTACACATGGGTATTTTTGTGAAGCACGTGCAACATGAAACTGAGGCTGAGAGTCTGCTTCATGCAATGAGAATAGATATTTTTTGGCCTAAAACTCCATTTGAAGTGACCCTGGGAACAATGAGGCCATCCTTGAATCTATCTGAAGTAACCATTTTTGGAGCAGCAACAAGTTAAGTTTCTGCTATAATACGTCATGAGTCTGACAAATTTACCAGGTGTGCTTTATTCTTAGGATTTCAAATGCATGTACTCTACTGTTTTAGGGTGGGCATTTGGGAGCCATACATTTTTTACTTCATTTACTTTGGGAAGATTTTTGTGCATCCTCAAAAGCTTTAACTGATTCTTTGACATCATAGCATCTTTGATCAATGCATGCTCTTTTGCAGCTCTCACAACTCTGTAGAGGCTGGCATACTATTCTGGAGCCCAGTTCAGCAAGTTCTGCAAAGCTAGTTGCAGCTCCTTTTGTGACCATTTGTATACCAACTATATTCTCCAAGCTGTGGGCATGTTGGTTAAACTGCCTGAACTAGAAATACAAAGTCAATTTGCAGTCTTTGTTCAGGGGTGGACTCACCACCATGGTGCCTTGGGAATTAGCTCACATAGTCATAGGGTACCTTCCTCTGCCAGTGTCTTCGCCGTGTCCTCACTCCACACACTCCCTTTCGGACCTGCATCTCACTCAGACCGTGGCGTCCTCTTCAGGACACTGCCCTCCAACAGCGTCCACTTTAGTGTCTCTTTAGTCCCCCTTCTGGGGGGTGGAGGAGGTGTTTATCAGTGTCTGCACTCTAGGGCCCTAGGTCCCCTATACCCTCCTTGCCTCAGTGACCCACTTCCAGTCTTCATCTAGCCCCTGCCTTGGGCAAATTACAGTCTGTAATGGCTACTCATCTTTGACAAGGGCGTGTGGACCTGCTGCTTTGTTTTATCCAGGCTGCCTCTCTGCTGCCCTAGTAGCCTCAGGGCTTGCTTCAGGCCCTGCAGCCTGGGAGCTTGCCTGGCCAGAGATTTCTCAGCTCTGCCTGCCTTTCTCCAGCTCTGCTCTACATCCAGGAAACCTCCTGCTTCCCGGGCAGCCAGGTCCCTCCTGCTCTCCAGCAAGAGCAAGTCATCCTCTCTCCCCCCAGGAGCCCTTCTTTATAAAGCCCCAACTGGGCCCTAGTGAGCAATATCTGCCTCAGATGGGGCTTCACTCTCAGCCCTCACACAGGGCTGGATATTTTGCCCTTAAAGGGCCAGTGCAGGGCAGATGCCCTGTCACAGGTACCATCAGAATATTCCATAGCATGTGGAACTGTGGCAAACTCATATATGAAACCTTCCTTCAGATCTGTCTCTGTCTCTGCCTCCCAAGTTCTGCCCCTCCCCCCCACTATGTTCCAGGGCCCCGGCAGCCCCTAGGAACTCTTGGAGGGAAAGCCATCAGGCAGGTGGGGAAGTGGCTGGTAGCCTTCTCTACGTACAATGCCATGTGCTCCATCACCGAGATGAGGGTGGTAAGTATTCGACACACCAGCTATTCCCAGGTGGCCTCTTTGTCCTCCCAGGCAGCGTGGTGCTCCTTCCAGTCAGTGGCCCATTCCTGGTGCTCTCCTTTGAGTCCATGGATGAGGGACTGCAAGCAGACCACCTGCTCCCTCATGAGCTCCTCGTGGTGCTTGCCAGCTATGGATCCCATTCCATTGTGTAGATGGAGTGGAAGGTAGGGGACATGCCAAACTCACAGCTAGCCTAGCTGTGAAAAGTGACAAGGGCAGTTAGCACAGGAGACACTGTGTATGAAGCCTTGCCCTAATCTCTGAGCCAACATCGAACGTCTCAGTTCAGATGATGGGTTTTGAGCAAG